GGACCTTCTCACTTTATTCTCCATGTCTCTTCTTTCATATTTTTCACATCTTTGTGTTGTATTCTGGATACTTTCTTCAGTTTTTTTTTCTATGTCACCATTCTCTTCAGTAGTATGTTTTAACATTATTATTTTTAGTGATTTTTTTTCTAATTTCTGGAAATTCTTTAGTTTTTTTAAGATACTGTTCACTCATTTTCAGGAATGAAAATTTTAGAAACCTATTTCTAGAAATATATTACACATCCTTATTTTATATTCTGTGTTTGATAATTTCACTATATGGAGTTTTATGTCTGATTCTGCTGTTATTTCTGTTGGCCTATGCTCATGGGCCAACTTGTGCATTGTGTTTCCTTGTGTGTTTAGAGATATCACACTGTAAGCTATTCATTTTCCTTGCAATGTCACATCTGGGATTCCATAAGACTGGAATGAAGGGGAGAGCCTCAGAGAAGATTTCTTTGCTTTTCTCATGTGACTGGGGACATTGCCAATTTGAGACCATGTTATATTCTCTGCCAAAGGTTTTATTGGACTATCTAATAGTATGTATTTGGCTATTAAACCAAACCAGGAGAGGGTCTGCTCCCAATTACAAATTCTTAGGGGATTCTTTTCTCCTCTGCTTAGGACCAATCTTTAAGACAAACAATTTTCCTGTATTTGATTTTGGATTCATTATATCAAAGGTATAGAACTTTGGGAGTCCAGCTTTATGGTGGACATCTGCTGTTAAATACCCTACCTTGGAAGTGTCATTTGAGGCGGTGAAAACCACCTGGTACAGTAAGTGGCTATAAGGGAAAAGCAGACTTCAGACACTTCTTACCTTCCCATATTTCTATACTCACTTAATATCTGGCCCAAGTATTCCTTATATTCTTTCCAACTCATGGATGCTTTTAAGATGTTTTAAAATTTTATCTAGCATGCCTAGTATTACACAACGGTGGTTGATATAATGAATGATTTATAATGAAAAGCTTCCCAACACTGACCCATTCTTGCATTTCTGTGGTAAACCTAACTTGGGCATGGGTTTACCAACTTGAGGTATTAGTCTTTGGTATATGGCTGGATTCTATTTGCTATTTGGATTTTTGAAAATTTTTTTTTAAAGATTTTATTTATTTGACAGAGAGAGATACAGCGAGAGAGGGAACACAAGCAGGGGGAGCGGGAGAGGGAGAAGCAGGCTTCCTGTGGAGCAGGCAGCCCGATGTGGGGCTCCATCCCAGGACCCTGGGATCATGATCTGAGCCGAAGGCAGGCATTTAACTGACTGAGCCACCCAGGCGCCCTGAAAATTTTATTTTTTAAAGATTTTATTTATTTGACAGAGAGAGAGCATGCACACACAAGCAGGGGGAGAAGCAGAGGGAGAGGGAGAAGCAGGCTCTCCACTGAGCAGGGAGCCCTATGCCAGGCTCGATCCCAGGACCCCGGGATCATGACCTGAACCGAAGGCAGGCATTTAACTGACTGAGCCACCCAGGCGCCCTGAAAATTTTATTTTTTAAAAAGACTTTATTTGAGAGACAGAGAGAGAGAGAGAGAGTGCGTGCGCGCTCTGCATGAGCAGAGGAGGGGCAAAAGGAGAGGGACAAGCAGACTCCCCACTGGGGAGTCCAATGTGGGGCTTGATCCTAGAACACTGAGATCATGACCTGGGCTGAAGTCAAAAGCTTAACCAACTGAGCCAACCAGGCACCCCTGAAAATTCTATTCTTAAAGTGAGATTGCAATACACAGTTCTTATATTTTCTGTGCTGTCTTTACCAGGTTTTGTTGTTGAAGTTATGTTGGCCAGCTTCATAAGAAGAATAAAAAACTGCATTGATGGTGTCTCTGTGCTACACTTTGACATTTTTCTATCTGGTGTCCTTTACCCACTTTATTTTGAGCCCCAGCCCTGGGGATAAGGGAACTTCAGGCCTCCTCCCCCACAGTCTGTCAGGAGCAAAGACTTGGATTCTAGAGTTTGTGGGAGCAGGAGTTTCCTAGGTCCCTAGGTTCAGCTCTTCCCAGTTGCCCCCTCACAATTTGCTGCTGCAGCCACACTCCCAGTGTCTCTGGGGAGCATCCCCCTGAGCCTTTGCTCTGTCTGGGCCTTCTGGCCTGGAATTAATTCAACACCTATTTACTGAGCATCTCCTATGTGCCAAGCACTGGGGATGCTATAGTATGTAAGACAGACATGATTCCTATTCTCATGAAGCTCACAGTCCATTGTGGGGTGGAGGAGATAGTCAACAAATGAATGAAATATATGGTATGACACATCATGCCAGAGTGCAGTGGAGAAAAAGGAAGCAATTTGTTGGTAGCTTTCTAACATGTTTGGGTATATGCAGGTCAAGTCCATGTTCCCCATCTTCTTAAGAATTGCTCTATTCTCTATTATTTTTTGCTTAAGAATTGCTCAGTTCTCCCATGTAGATTTCACAATCCATTTGTCAAGTGTTTAAAAAATATTCACAGGATGTTGATTTGGATCATGTTGGATTTGCAGATAACTGAGCTGGCCATCTGTGAAGATGGTATTTTTCCTTTTAACTCAGGTCTTCTCTATCATTCAGTAAAATTTTAAAGTTGTATCTGTAAAGGTCTTTTGCATCTTTTTGTCAGATGTACTTTGAGGCCCCATATGGCCTATGTTGCAGAATCTTTTTTTCTATGACTTTTTCTACTCAGTGACGGCTGGTGGATAGACTGCTGAGAGTAGGCTGATCTTCTGTGATCTGGTTAGAGTGGGTTCTAGAACGTCAACCTGATGTCACTCCCTGTTCAGAGCTCTGCCTGGCTCCACTCCAGGCTCTTCCCTCACTTGTCTCAGTGGACTGGCTTTTGTCACCTCTGGGCTTTGCCCATGTAGCCCATCTTCTCCCTTGGCAGGCCCCCTTCCACTGCCCCCACCCCCCTGGGTTCAGGTTTATGCTAGGGTTGCCTCACCTGCCTTGCACCTTCTGGCCAGTGAGAGCTGCAGGACTAACCAGTGCCTGCCTCCCTACAGGTGGGAAAGCAAGGCCCTGATAAGGCAGGAGTTGTGCAGGGCCCGTCTTGGATCCCACAGCGCTGGGGCTTCAGGGCAGGTGATTGGAGCCTGGCTCTGCTACTCCTGTGGTGCCCTGCCCCACCCCCCCTTCTCACATGGAAGCACTGGCAGTGGGAGGCACCCCCACAGTGGGCCAGACCAAGCCACCCGTCCCGGGAGCTAGTGATCTGAGTTGCTTAGCAACCTGGGACAACAGAAGCAGTCCAAGTTATCGTGGTTATCGATTAACCCTGGAACTCACCAAGGTGGGCTTCCCTTGAAGAGAAGAGCTGGGTGGGTGCCTTGGCTTGACCCCAGACAGCCCCAGGCAAAGCTGAGCCTTCCCCTAGCTTCTGTCTCTGCCCTCTGCAGCCTTCATGGCCCAGACCCTGTCACAACGAGTCTTCCACCCCGTTCTCTCCCCTCCCCATTTAGACCAGCTTTTCATTGCTTTCCTCAGCGCAGAGCAGAAGAACGTCCCAGGTTCCGCCCCATGCTGCCCTATAGGCTGTCACCTGTCCTGCATCAGCCCTGAACCACCCAGTCACAGACACACTCAGGGACAGGGCCTTGGAAAACTCCAAATCCAAGGTTTTTATTACCGGTCAGAAGGTGCTCCCTCACAAAGTGTTGAGAAGAGGTACATTGCACAGCTCTGCTGCAGGCCTGCTGGGGCCACCCACTCCACCCAGACCACCCTGCCTCTTGAGTGGGCACCCTAAGGCATTTCATACATTGGTGTTTTCACTTTTGTTTTTTTATAAAAACAAAATCAGTCCTGGAGTATACAGAAAAAAACCCTGTGATGAATTTTCAGGACCAAACTTAAGCGGGAGGGGGTGGAGTGGAGGTTCTGAGGGGTGGGGACAGTGGCCCCGGTGGCCCAGTACCCCCACCATTGGCAGAAGCCTTTGGAAGGGGGTCCGAGGAGAGGGCAGGGCACAACTGACAGGAGGGCTAAACTCAGACAGGAGTGCCCTGTCTTCATCATTTTTTAACTTTCACATACCATAGAAATTTAAGCAAAATAGCTATTTTTATATATTTATATATCATATATATATAAATCAGGCAAATAAAAGAGTTCAGGGGGTGTGGAGATGGGCACCCTGAAGGTGCCTGAGGCCGAGGCGGGACACTGGGTCTTTGGTGCCTGGGGGCACCAGCCCAGGCTGAGCCAAGTGTTTTGTTCTTATTGCTGATTTGGGGCCTGGTTCTGGGGTGGGAAGCACCTGCAGGCCCTGCCCCCCAGCCCTTCCTGGCCTCTCTAGGGCTGGGGAGCAGCCTCAACATGGCCAAGGCAAGGCAAGGGGCTAGTGCCCTCAAATCTACATGGGGGCCGCTCAGCGCCCCCTCCCCCACAGTGGGTGTGGCTGTAGCTCCAGAGACAACTGACTTGTGCTCTCCTGGGCCAGGTGGCTCCTCCAGTTCCCTTCTCTGTGGAGTCCTGTGCGCCCGCTGACTGGGCAGCTCCGATACAGATGGGGCCCTGCTATGTTGAGCGACAAAATGCTCCCTGCTCAAAGGGGTCTGGCTTCCTGATGTCTTAAAAAGAAGGGGCTCTTGCCAGGACACGTTTGTGGCAAGAAAGCACACTTAGAAAGTTGTCTGCTAAGTGCTGTGCTAAAAACACTTACTAAACGTCTTGGCTGGAAAGAAATGGAGATCGTTTTTTCTAAAAAAGTCAAATGTGGCTCCTCAGGAGGGGCCAGTGCCTCCCTGGGTGGGGCTGGTGACTGGGGCAGCCCAGGGCCCGGGCCAGCCTGCCTGAGTTGTGGTAACTGGGAGCTGGGGTCCCAGTGGGACCCGAGTCCATAATGAAGGGGCTCGGGTGACCCAGGGTACCTGGAAACTGAAGAGAATGCAGGTCAGCACTTACTCCTTCCAAGGTGGGAGCCCCAAAAAAGTGTTTAAAAAACAAATGTGGGGGGAGGTGTGGGGACTAGGGCCATTGAGTATTAATTTGAGTGCATTAAAGAAGAGGTGGACCAGGCTGTGCAGGAGCCTGTATTTGCAGTAGGGGTGGCGCTCAGAAGATGTTGGGGCACATGTGCCAGTCCTGCCTCTCCTTGGCCTCCCAGTAGCCGCCCTTGTACATGCAGGCCGTCTCCCCCGTCAGTGGGTCCAGCCTCTTCTCGAACCACAGCGGCATGTACACATCGGCCTCCTTCTCTGCTGGGCAGGCACAGTGGGCGGAGGGGTGGACAGTGGCCTCTTCCCAGCCCGCCCCCTTCCCCGGTTCCCCCATTCCCTGCCCCCAGGACACAGCTTCCTTCCACCCTGCCTGCCCCCCGCACCCTCCCTGTCCCCGGGGGTGCCCCTTCCTCCCCTTCTCCCCACCCCTGGGGCATCCCTTCCTTCCGGGAACCCGCTCCCCACCCCCAGGGTCCCCTCTCTCCCCGCCCAGCCTCACCTTCCTCCGTGCCACAGCCCCGCGAGCAGGCCTCCAGCCGCCGGCGCCGCGACACTCGCTGCTTCTCCTCCAGCCGCTGCTTCTCCGTGTTGGCCTCGTCCCAGTGCCCCTTCTCCATCAGCCGCTGGTCCGGCCGCAGGCGGCTGTCCGTGGGCGCCACGCCCTCCTCGTGCTCGTTGAGGGTCAGGGCCAGCTCAGAGAAGTAGTACATGTTCTCGGCGTTCTCCCTGTGGCGGCAGGGCGGCGTGAGCGGTCCCGCAGGGCCCCCGGGGCCACGTGTCCACCCCTGGAACTCGCCCAGCCAGCAGCTGGCTCCTTCCTCTTTTCCTGCCTGCACCTCGCACACTCGCTCCACCGACCTGCATCTGTTTTGCTACATTCTACTTTTCTGGGAATTTGCCGATTTCCACCAGTTTTTCAATCTCATTACTACCGCTTTAACGACTAGGACATGGCGATGTCATCTTTTCACATCTGTGATGTGCGTTAAATGTGCCTTCCCCCTATTCTGAACAGTCATGGTGGAGGTTCGTGCACTCTCTTCATTGACTGAAGATGAAACTTTGTTGATCCTCTTTTAGGTTATTCTACCTTACTGAGTTTACTTTTATGTTCTCCCACTTTGTTGTGGTTTATTTTGCTGTTCTTTTTCCAACTTCATCAGATGGTTGCTGAGCTCATGATTTTGCAGCTTTTCTTTTCTAATATGTGCGTTTTAGGTTAGGCATTGCCCTCCAAGTACTGCATTAGCTGAATCTCACAGCTTTTATATGTATTACTTTAATTATCATGCACTTTATTTATTTATTTAAGAGAGAGAGTGCCAGCAAGGGGTGGGGGATGGACAGGCAGACTCCGCACTGAGCATGGAGGCGGATGGGGGGCTTGATCTCAAGTGAGATCATGAGGCAAGCTGAAATCAAGAGTCAGATGCTTAAGAGACTGAGCCACCCAGGCGCCCCTTTAATGCAGTTATATTTTCTGATGTCCACTCTATCTTCTTTGATCTGTGGATTAGTTGGAAGTATATTTCTTGAATTTATAAACATCTGGGGATTCTTTCTAGTTATCTTTATTTCTAGCATAATCGCTTTGGAAACAGTATACTGGTATAATCTCAGTTCTTTGAAACTTGCTGAAAGACCCAGTATATGGTCAGTTTTTGCAGATGTTCCATGTGTACCTGAAGAGAAAGTGTTTACTGCAATTGTTCAGTACAGTGTTCTATAATTGGTAGATTCTATGGTTCAAACTTTCTTTCCCTGTTTCTAGCCATTACTAAGAGCTTTGTTAAAATTTCCTATTTTGGTTGTAAATTAATCCATTTCTCCTTGTATTTCTACCAGCTTTTGTGGTAAATATTTTGAGGCTGTGTTTTTTAGGTACATGATAGGTTCAAATTTAAAACCCATCTTAGTGAATTGAACCTTTATCATTATGTTCCCCTTACCTCCAGTCTTACCTTTTGTTTTAAAGTCTGTTTTGCAACATTAATATAGCTACAGCAGCTTTTGTTTGTTATTTCTGTGGACATATCTTTTTCCATCCTGTTATTTCAATCTTTCTTTCTTACTTAGATGTAGCTCTTGTAAAACACATATAGTTGGATTTTTAAAACTTACCTGAAATCTTATACCTGTAATGGGAGTAATTAATGTAATTACTGATATGTTGGATTTAAATCTCTCTTATTTTGTTTTTTCTTTGTGTTCTCCTTTTTTGGACCCCAGATGCACAGCTTTGGATTAGTCATGATCCTTTTGCTACACGACACCCTCTTTTTATTGGTGCTTGCATGGCCTGCTTGACCACCAGAAGAACCTCTAAACAAAAGGTAGAATCCTGACAAAACCTACATCTAACCATATGGAAAACTCACCAATTCACCCCCTTCTCAGGTAGCTGTCACAAGACTCCTGGCTTCATCAGCCCCTTGCTTACCTTTTAATCTAATTTTATTGCATCTTTACATAGTCTTAAATGTGCATGTATTTGTTTTCATATACATATATTTATGTATTTGTTTTTAACTGTATAAGAAGAATCATGATGTATGTAATCTTCTGGGACTTGCTTTTTTTTCTTAATATTATACTGCTAAAATTTATATGGTTGCATGTTTCTGTGGTTCATTAGTTTCAACTACTGTGTAATATTCTCCCATGTGAATAATAACACAGTTATTCATTCAATAAATCTGGGTTGTTTACAAGTTTTTGCTTTGGAGTAATCTTATGCATGGTGCCCATTGTATATTTGCAGGAATTTCTTGAGTATGTAACTAGAAGTGGAACTGCTGGGCTATAGAGTCTGATATTCTTCCCTCGGAGGTAAGGCCAACCTGCTTTTCAGCATGGTGACCAGGCACCAATTCGCATTCCCACCTTTGATGGGTAAAAAATATTGTGGATCTACATCTTCTTCAACACTTGATACTGTCAGACTTTTTCATTTTTTTTAATTAAATGAAGGCAAAATGGTCTCATTGCAGTTTTGATTTTCTTTTGTCTGATTACCAATGATGTTGATCATATTCATATGATGACTGGTCATATGTATTTGTTCTCGTGTGAAATTCTTGCTCGTGACTCTTGCACTTTTTCTGACAGATTGTTTTTGCTTTATTTGTGGAGGAGGTATTCTTGATTTTTTTTTAGTTATTATTTTTAATTGTGGCCAAATACTTTTTATGTATTCTCAATACTGATCTGTTGTTGGGCATTAAGTATTTTGATTATCTTCTGAAAATTTATATATTGTCTTTTCACTTTCTTTAAATTTTCTTTTAATGAGCAAAACTTCTTTTAATGAAAAAAATATTTTAATATAGCTATATGCATCAGTGCTGTTCTGTGTCTTAAGATCTATTTCCTTAAGGTCTAAAAGATACTCATCAGTATTTTCTCCTTAGAGTTTAACTTATTGTTTAACAGCAAATCAAGCTTAATACTTTTTCTAAGACCTTTACCTGGAGTCAATTTCTGTTCTAACGTAAGGGAGAGATTAAGTTAATCTTTTTCCATGTGGATAACCATTTTCCCAAATCCTTTTAGTGAGCAGTGCCATCTTTTCACACGATCTCAAGTCACCTTTGTTATATACCAAAGATATATACATCCGTGGGTCTGTTTCCAGGCTCACTGTTCTATTGCAGCTTCAAAATAAGTCCTAATATCTAGTAGGGCTAGTCCTTATTTCTCCGTTCTTCAGAAATATTCTGGCCCTTTATTCTTCAATATAAATTTAAAAATCATTATATCAAGCAATGAAAGTCACTACTGGGATTTTGTTTGAGCTCCTCTTTAGATCATAACATCTTTGTAATACTAAATCTTTCTATTTATGAACATTGTGTCTTTCTCCATTGATTTAGCTCTTCTTTAATATCTCAGTAAAGTTTTATAATTTTCTCTATAGAGGTCTTGAATATAAGATTATTACAAGATTGTTATTTATTATATTATATATTACATATTATATATTATGTTATTATATTATTATAAGATCTTATTGATGAATATAAGATTTATTACAAGATCCTCCTGTGGTATGATAATTGTCTTCTCTTAAATTGTATTTCCTAGTTGTTTTCTTTTAGTGTGTAGAAATGCAACTGACTTTTGCATATAACCTTATACTAAGACACCTAAAATGCTTTTTCTGAATCTACTGAGATTTATTAATGTGATGAATTAATTTGTAGATTTTTTTTTAAAGATTTATTTATTTGACAGAGAGAGAGACAGCGAGAGAGGGAACACAAGCAGGGTGAGTGGGAGAGGGAGAAGCAGGCTTCCCGCTGAGCAGGGAGCCCGATGCAGGGCTCAATCCCAGGACCCTGGGATCATGACCTGAGCTGAAGGCAGCCGCTTAACGACTGAGCCACCCAGGCGCCCCTGGATTTTCTAATAATAAAATCATCTTTGCATGCCCATGATAAATGCAACAGGATTGATGAATGCTTTCTTTTTTATACACTGTTGGATTTTCTGATGTCTTATTTTGGAATTTTGCTTATATATTCATGAATGACTCTTTTACGTTGGTTTGGTATCAGGGTTATCCTGGCCTCACGTATAGGAAAAGAGAGCATTTCTTCTTTTCCTTTGGTCTGGAAGATTTTATATACTACTGAGATAATATATTTCTTGAAATTTTGGTAGAATTCACCTACAAAATTAACTGGGCTTTGTGTTTTCCCTGTGAGAATTTTTAAACTACCTCTTCTTTTTCTTTGATTATAGGACTAGTCATGCTTTTCATTTCTTTTAGACTCAGTTCTTGTTATATTTTTCTAAGAATTTGTCCTCATCTGAATTTTAATTCTCTCTTAGTACTTTGTATGTCATATTAAACTCTTTTTTTTTTTTTTTTATTTCTATATTCTTTCTTGGTAAGTCTTGCCAATAGTTTTCTGTCAGTTTTTTTTTTTTCTTGAAGAATCAACTTTTGGCTTTTTAAACTTCTCTATTTTTTCTATTTTACTAATCTCTGCTTTTATTTTTAAACTCAGTTTTTTTCTTTCTTCTGGTTTATATGTTGACCTTTCTCTAATTTCTTAGATTAGAAACTCAGAAAAGAAATAGCCTCAAAATGAATGAGCTTGTTTATGTGCCTATTTAAGGCAATCCATTTCCTTTAAAGCACTGCCTTTGTTACATCCATTCTCAATTTTAGGTATTTTATTTTATATTAAGATTTTACTTATTTAAGAGAGAGAGAGAACAAGATGGGGCAGAGGGAGAGGGAGAACCAGGCTCCCTGCTCAGCAGGGAGCCAGATGTGAGGCTTGATCCCAGGACCCTGGAATCATGACCTAAGCCAAAGGCAGATGCTTAACTGACTGAGCCACCCAGTTGCCCCAATTTTAGGTATTTTAAAATTTCCATTCTAATTTATTATTTTCCCCATGAGTTATTTAGCAACTTAACAATTTTTTCCAAACACGTGAGGACTTTTTGTCATCTTGTTCATAATTTCTGACTTAGTTGTCTTATCATAGATGTGGTCTATACGCTACCCTCTAAATTTGAGTCGCTACCCTGAGTCTTTCTTTAGGGTTCAGTACATGATGGATCTTTGCATACATTCCATGTCTACTGGGTAAAAGGTACGTTCTATTATTGTTGCAACTGCAAGTATGTGGACATCCTGTGTTGTTTTGATCTATTCAGATCCTTGTTGATCCCACCCCTGCTCTGACTGATCAACAAGTGAGAGAGGTATATTGAAGTCTCTCAATCTCCCACCATGGTGATGAATTTATCAATTTCTCCCTTTACTATCAATATATGCTTTGTATATTTTTGAGGCTGTTTCATTACATGGATAGTGAAACTCATATCTTCTTGAAGAACTCAGACTTTTATCATGTAGCAGTTCTTCCATCCCTAATAATGCTTTTGTCTTATTAAAGTCTATTTTATCTGATATTAATATAGCTATTGTAGCTTTTTCAGTTAGTATTCCCATGATATGTCTTTTCCTTTCAACCTCTGCATGTCTTTGTTTTTGACATCTCTTAGAAGGTGCATATATCTGGATTTTAAAAAAATCCAGTCAGTCAGTATTTTGCTTTTTGACTGGTGAGTTTCAGCTACTTTTATTTGTTATGCTTGGGCCTATTCCTATTGTGTTGATTTACTGTTTTTATTTGTCCTTTTTCTTTTTAGTCTTTTCTTACTATTTTAACATCTTATATTTAGACAAGTACTTCCTTCTAATAAGAACTTAGCAATCCTTCACATCCCTTGGTGTTCCTTTCAACTCCCCTCAGATCCTGACATGTTAACATTATCTACATCTTAAATTCTGCATTATTATGGGAATATTTCTCTTTTACTTTGGTCCTAGTAATTGTTAAAAACACAACTTTTACTTCATATGTCTTTTGCAGCAACTTCTGGATATTTTTTTTCTCCCCCTTTTAAAGTACTATGTCTAGGGGCACCTGGGTGGCTCAGTTGGTTAAGCATCCAACTCTTGATTTCAGCTCTGGTCATGATCTCACATGATCTCAGAGTCTTAAGCTCGAGCCCCATGTCAGCTAAGCACGGGGTATGTGGATCCTGGTTAAGATTGTCTCTCTCCCTCCCCTGCCCCACCCCTGCTTGCTCTCTCTCTAAAATAAATAAATAAATAAACAAACAAACTACTATTTCTGATACCATTTTCATTGTGGGTTTTTTTGTGGCAAACCTTCTGAGGCTGTTTGCTTGACGACATTTATTGTTGTTGTTGTTATGTCCTCATTATTAAATGATAGCTTGGCTGGATAAAAATCTTAATCTTCTAATTTTGCTTTCTTCATTACCTTGAATTTTTTTTTTTAAACATTGGTTATTGAAAGATGTCAATCTTTCTGATTGCCAATCTGATTCTTTTTTTTTTTTTAAGATTTTGTTTATTTGACAGAGACATAGCGTGAGAGGGAACACAAGCAAGGAGGAGTGGGAGAGGGAGAAGCAGGCTTCCCGCTGAGCAGGGAGCCTGATGCGGGGCTCGATCCCAGGACCCCGGGATCATGACCTGAGCCGAAGGCAGACGCTTAATGACTGAGCCACCCAGGTGCCCCTGCCAATCTGATTCTTTATCCTTCATTGTAATCTGCTTGTACTCCTCTCTTGAAGCTACTAGAATTTTCTCTTTGGCATTTTTAATTTTCACTATAGTGTGGTCTAGGTGAAAGCTTTTCTTTATCTCTTGTCTCTGGAACTCCACAGGCCCTTCAACCCAAGGTCTCCCATCTCTGTTTTTATTCTGGGAAATTTATCTCCATTATTTAACTATTTCTCTTTCCTTTCCATTTTTCTTTCTTTCTTTTCCTTCCAGGATTCCAGCTAAACATTATTTTAGTGGTTGTTCTAGGAAATATGCAGACTTCACACAGCCAAAAGTTACTGCACATGTTGACCTTCCTGAGTTGCACAAAGGCCTTTGAGAAGTTTCCTTCCATTTATCCCTCTTCTGACTTATATGATCACACAGTTGTATTTTATGTTTAGATTCAAAAACCCGCAAGACATCTCTATTCTTGTTTATTTACTGTTCACTTAGGTTCACATAGTTTTTGTTCTTCCTTCATTCACACATCTCAGATCTTCCATCTGGGATCACTTTCCTTCTGCAGGAGGTATATCCTTTAATGTGGGTCTGCTGGTGGCAAAATGAGTTTTTATTTGTCTGAAAATAAAATATTTCAACACTCTGTAAACGTGTTCTTGCTGGGTGTATAATCATCGGCTGGCAGTGAGTCTGCACATGGAAGATCTCATTTGACTGTCTTCAAGCTTCCACCAGGAAGAGACCGCTGTCAGTCTGCTCTTCCTCAGAAAGTCATACAGGTCTTTTTCACAACTCTGATTTAGTTTCAACAGTTCCACTGTATAGATTTGGTGTGGAAGATTCTTTTCTGTTTGCTCTTCAGATATGGTCTCTTTCCTTCTAGACTCTGACTAGAAGTATGCTAGACCCTGCTCTCAAACCTGACGTGCGCATGGCTGCCCTCGGGATCTTACTGAGATTCTCACTCTAGTGGGCTCCCAGGGCTGCTGGTGATGCTGCCCCAGGGACTCCCTCTGAGTGACTAGGTGGTAAGCTTTCTCTCTGTTAGCTTTTTGTCTTTGCCAGGTTTTGTCTATCTGAAGTGTTTCTTTCTTATGTTGATGGATTATATTAAACCTTCCCAATTGGAGTTCTCAAGTTCAGTTACTTAATTTTTCCTTTGTAGAATTTGTTTTGCTCTCTTTGGAACCTGCTGTGCCACTTTTTATAGTTTTCTGTTTCTTGCACTGATTTTCACATTTGGTTTTCATTCCTTGGACTGTGGGGACTCTGTCCTTATCAGCCTGTTTAAAGTCTGCATAGGACTTGCTACCACTGGATACGGTCACGCTTATTTACGGCCGAGCGTCTGGCTCCCACACTGGGATGTCAGGTGCAGAACACCGCCTCTGCCTGTGTGTGGACAGAACCGCCCCGACCCCAGTGCCTGCTGCTCGCTTCTTGCCAGGCCGGGCAGGCTCCCTGGCCTGTCCTCTGCCCCATGCCTCTGTTTCCCGCTCCCTGCCTGCTCTTTACCCGCCCTGCAGCCCCACTCACGGCAGCGGGTACTTCTTCCACAACAGCTTGGCTGGAAGCGTCTGGTACACTGTCTTCTGCTTCCCATCCGAGCCGGGGCTGCTGGGGCTGCTTTGCACGATCTTGGCGCACTCCATCTGTTCATCCCATGAGCCTGACAGCACGAAGTGGGCTTTGCCCTGGCTGTCACTCACCACGCCTGTCACCTGTGGACATGGGCAGGATCGGCATAGGCACACGCCCCACCCCAGGCCCCCCCAGGACTCCAAGAGGTGGCCTTGCTTACCTTCCGGGCTACCTCTTTGGAGAAGTAGCTGTAGGGCAAGAACTTCAGCTGGCACCGGTCCTGGGTCTTATGGTTCACAATCTCGATGTCCCCTGTCTGGTGAGGGAGGGTAGTGGTCAGTGGCCCACCTTGAGGCCACACGCCCCCCCTCCCTGAGGGCACCACCTGACCTGGTCGATCCAGAGCTTGCCCACAATGATGTTATGTACAGTCGAGGTGCTCTTCCTCCACACGTAGTGATTCCCACTGGCCTGGAATTCTAAGTGGATGGCACCTGGAGGCCAGATATAGGGTCAGAGGTCACGGCTTGCCATGCTAGACCCCAGCCAGCCTGCCTGCTCACAGTCCCAAGGTTCTGACAACTGGAAGCAGTATTCATGTGGACTGGGGACAGGACATAGGCCAGGGAGGCATCCAGGAAGCCTGGGGAGGTGGGGAACAGATTTGCAGAGAGACTAATGTCACTCCTGGAGGCCCCAAGCTGGCTTCTGGGTTGGTAAAACCCTCCCCCTTATCCTGAATGTCTTTCTGTCCTGGGAGAGCACAGGGCTCCAGCTCACCTAGCGGCATGATGGAGAGGTATTTTCCCCGGAACTTGCTGGAGATGGTGATCTCCTGCCACAGGCTCCAGCCACGCTTGGAGAACACGTAGTGTGCAGCTGATGGTGGGTGGTGGCTCACCTGAGACCAGACCCACAGGACATGAGCGTCTGCTGGACGTGGGCCCAGGCCTGCTCCCCATCCAGCTGTGGGGTGGGGGGGGCAGCCTGCCCTGTGCTCAGCACGACCAGCTCCATGGCCCTGGGAGCAGGCCCCCAGGAAGGATGGTGCTCTGAGTGGAAAAGCAAGGGTGCGGCAGTGGGACCGGCCTAGGTGGCTGTCCTGGGCTTGCTGTGGTTGGGAGAAGGGGGCCGAGGCATCTCTACGGTGGACTTGGGCTCTGAAATGGGGTGACGACAGAGCCTGGCCTCGAGGAGGCCCCTGCGACCAGCTGTGCTGAGGGCTAGGAAGCGAGGTGTGACGCTCTAGCAAGGGCTTCTGTGCCCACTCTCCAGGTAGCCGCCCCACTCATCCGCAAAGGGCTGCCCCTACTGGGCCATGTTGCACAGGGGCCCAGGCCAGGGAAGCCATTTGAACTGAGTGGCAGAGTTGGGCCCTGCCTCCCTCCTGGGTGGCCCGGCTCCAGAGCAGGAGTCCATGTCACTGTCCCGCCCCGGGTGCGGAGAGTGGTGCAGTAAGCTCTGCACAGCCCCGCGGGGGTCCCCTAGCACCTCCCGCCTCCTCTCACGGCACTGGGCGCCCCTGATAGCCGGCTGTCCCACCTGCTAGCATACCCCTACCAACTTCCCCTTGTTTGTTCTTCCTCATTTCTATGGCTCCTTTGGTCGCAGGGTCCTGGGGCCCAGCCTCTCCCCAGCTTCCTCACTCCCTAGGGCACCTCTTCGCTGAGTCACGGCCTCAGTCAGGCTCCAGCCCCAGCCTTGCGCTCCAGTCTGCCCCAGCTGCCCACTGGATGCCCCAGCCATGCGCTCCAGTCTGCCCCAGCTGCCCACTGGATGCTTCCGGCGGCTCTTTGGACTGACCAGAGTTCCTGCCGTACCCGAATGCATCTCTCATTGCCTCCTGTCACCATGAGTGGTACTTCACTGCCTTTTGGGTCTGAGTCCCAGGTCAAACCGCCAACCGTTCCTTGTCGCCCAAGGCCAGCACCCCACGTGCCCTAGGGCCCAGCACAATGGCAAACTCAGGGATGGGACCCCAAGGGGCTGGCCCTGGTGCTCTGCGTCATGGCTTCCTGCTCAGGCCGATGACCTAGTCTTAACAGCTGCTCACACCAAATGCTTTGGAGTCATCCCTGGCCCTCTTTCTTGTGTGCCTGCTCTAATCCTTAGCAAATCCAGGCTGTTCTTTCTTCAAAATGCATCTAGGAGCCACCCCTCCCCCTCACCAGGCCACAGTGGGTGGCGCAGAGCATCTGTAGGCTTTACTCTCTGCTGCAGGGGTTGGGGGATGGGGGCATAAGACAAGGCCGGTGTCATGACTCCTCCACCTGCCACACAGAATGAAACCGGAGGCCTCAGGCTGCCTGCCCACTCCCTGTCTGACCTGTGCGCTCCTTTCTCCCTCACTCTGGGCTTCGCCCAGCTTTCTAAAGGAGCCAGAACCATCTGACATACACAGCACCTGTCCCTCACTGCCCCCCTCAGGAGAACAGGCACCCCATCCACTCACTTCCCAGCTGCCTGTATAGCACCTGGCGCTTTTGGGGGTACTTGGTCAACTCTATTGAATGAAGAAGTGAATTCACTCAGTAGTTCAGGCCAAGAACGCCGGGGTCATCCTTGCCGCCTTCCCTTGCCTCCCTCCCTCCCTCCCTCCTTTGCCCTCTCTCCCTCCTTTGCCCTCTCTCCCCACATCCAAAGCATTAGCAAATCCCCAGGCTCTACTTTCTAAGCAGCTTGTGCTCTGCCCTCCCATGTCCCCCTGGTGTGGCTACCCTAACCGGCTTCCCGTAGGGTGACACTGCAACCAGAGCATGCCTTTTAAACTAGCCACCAGACCGTGAAATGTCTGCTTTCTGAGCTCCACCCCGGGCCCAGAACAGCACCTGGCCCACGGCTCATGTCCAGCAGCCCACCCGGGAAGCTCTATGTTGGGTGCCTTCACGCAGCACTTAACTGGGTCCTCCCAGCACCCAGGGAGGCACCAACAGAATCACCCCTCTTCAGACAAGGGTGCCAAAGCTCAGGCTGAGATGCTACTGTGGAGGCTCCCAGACCCCAGGGCCCGGGTTTGGTTCTGCTCTGGGAGGAGAATACGCATCTCTGTGGGGAAGGCATAGAGAAGGGATGGGGGCAAGCTGACCCCGCCGCCCCCCAGGGCAGGACCTCTGGACCCCAGAAGCTCCTCACACTCCAGGCCTGTACCATCACTGACCAGGGTGTCCACATGGTGCGGGGTCCCCTCTGCCTGCCACCTGCCCCCCAGCTCTGGTCCACCCGGACTCCCTGATAGCACCGCATACAACCCTTGAGGGTTGCCGCATGGTTCCTGATGGAGAGGGGGGGCCTCCCCTTCCCCACACCCCCCCCCTTCCCCACACACCAGCCCTGACTCTGTCCTCACCCGGGAGGCCTGCCCCTGCTGCAGGAGGCCCAGCTGCTGACTGGACCTCGTCTTGGCCCTGTGGGCACGGGCACATCAGGGACAGAGGCTGCGTCCCATCCTTCTTGCTAGGACCCCCAGACCTAGCAGGAGTGGCTTGGCCAGAGCGTGTGTGGGCCTCACCTGCTCGCAGAGGGAGCGCAGGCCCATGTCATCGAGGCGGTCCAGCTCAAAGGTCTCCCCCAGCATGGGGTTGAAGGGCTTGGCGATGCGGTGCACAGTGGTGGAGTAGGAGGACACAGAGAAGGCGGCCACCAGGCACATCTGCTCCACCGAGCTGGTGCAGTGCACCGCCTTGTCCAGCAGGTGGTGGTACTCCAGGTCCTCCGTCAGCCGCTGGAGCATGGACAGGGGCTCGTTAAAGTTGACCTGCGGACAGGCGGCGGTCAGGCGCTGCTCCCAGCACAGGCCTGGGGTCGGCACGGCGCCCTTGTTCTCCTCAGAGGTTCGTGGACACTGCTGCTCAGATGGCACCTTCACAGTCAGGATCCTCTGATGACCCTGTCTAAAGCCCTGTCTAAACCCGCGGCTCCATGCGCTCGCCTCCGGCCTCAGTTCTCTCCACAGCCTCACCGCTTTTGGACCTGCTGTCTCTCGTACCCTCTCACTACGGTTACTGTCACTCTCCCCTCCTAGAATGTAAATGCCACAAAGGCCAGAGTTTCTGACTTGTTCAGCACCGAGTCAGAATCAGTGAGTGAGTGGATGGATGGGTGGCTGGCTGATTTTCCTCCTATTCTGAGCTATTATGCTAGTTTTCTGGTGAAAGCTCCTGGAGGTGGCCCCCCATCCTGGCCTTGGACAGGGCGGGGCCGCTCACCATGCTGGGCTGCGACCCTGGGCCAGCCATCCGGCAGGGACTGCTCTGCGTTCTCCCCTTTCATCCTCCCGACACTGTTCTGTGGGCGCCGTTACTCTCCCCACTTTGCAGGTGTGGGCACAGAGGCCGGAGATGTGAAGGGGTTTGTCCCGGGGGCACACAGTGAAGCCAAGTCTGGCCTGAACCCCAAACTCTTCCTCCCTGGAGATGCCATCAGAGCCTGGCGGCACGCGAATGCTAACTCCACCCTCAGCGTGCTGGGTGACCTCGCTGGCGTGGGCGCCAGAGACAGCTCCTGGCCCAGAGGAGGGCAGTCCTGCCACTCCCCATCTATGAGGTCAGGACAGCTAGGACACCGTGAAGCCCTGTCAGGTGCAGAGGCGCTCTGAGCATCCCCACATCTCTGATCAATGCAGAGCCCCTCCTTTGCTCCTTCCCTCAGAGCCTGAGACCTCAGCTCTCAGGGGATTTTGGCAATGTCATTGAACACGATTGGATAATTTGTTACATGCTCCTCAGGTGTCCTTAAGAAAATGACACCCAGGCTGCTTGTACTTCACAGAGGTCAATCCTCATCCATGCACAAAAAAGCACACCCCCCCCCCCGGGACCCACTGCAGCTGCCTGCCCTAGCCCCCTACCGGCATGGGGATCTTGGAGAGCTCCCGGCCGATGCAGTTCTTCATGATGCTCCAGAGATTAAGGCTGTAGTTGGGTTTGTCAGGGATGCGGACACGCCTCTTGACTTTGGGGGGGCCCTTGGGCACAAGCGAAGCACCATCTAGCACCTGCCAGAGAGAACGTGCCTGTGAGTGGAGGCCAGGGTGCCCCTTCAGCCTTCTAGCCCTGGCCCTCACCTCTACCCAGTGCAGTCCGAGCACCGAGCTGGCCACTGGCATGGCGCTGGCGCAGGGGCAGTCTGGCTGATCGGTCAGACCAGGATGAAGGCAGCCAGGGCACTGAGCCCACCCCAGGGGCCTGGAGCCCAAAGTGCCAGCCTGCCTTCTAGCCATCCTTGGGGTCTTCCCTCTCACTTACATTATCTGATGAGGTCCAGTCCACTGAGCCTGTGGTCCCACCCTCCGCTTTTCTGCAAGAAACACAAAAGGGGAGGTAAGTTATTTACAAATCCTCAGGCCTCCTGGGGACCTGGCCACCTTCTATCCAAACCCCTCAGTGGGGTGCAAGGGGCAGCCCACCCCAAAGCTGCTTCTCCAATGGGACATCTCCAGTTTGGGACATTCAGCTGGGCTGAGGGGCCCAGGACAGTGATTTGGAGGGGCTCCCACCCACTGATGCCCCCTAGGAGCAGCCACTCGAGCAAAGTCACCTGAGGTCCCTGCATATAGCCCCCTCCTGGGACTGGCAGACCCAGGACCCGGATGAAGCTGGGAGTGGCCATTTCCTCTGGCAGAGCCTCCTAGGGCCCCGTGGGGCCCCTCCATCACAGACAGACCCCACTGTGTCCTCACTGTCTGCTGGTCTGACTCTCGCACTTGACTGGGGTTCCAGAAGGGTAGGAAGTGGGTCAGATGCATGCCTGTGCCTGTGAATACTTGTGGTGAGATGGTTGGCTAGAGCAGCAGGGGGCGGTATGGCTGAGGGGCCCAAGCTCTGAGGGATCCCCAAGGACACGTGACCTGGGCCAGCTGGGGTGAGGGACAGGCACTTGGCAGTCAGGACCTCAGGGAATGGGAAGGATTCACTGGGTCACTACGGACAAGGGACCTGCCTGCAGCCCAGAGGAGCTACACTACCAGGGAAGGTGGTAGTTTAGGCCTTGGGGCTGTGTCAAGGAGCCTAGGGAGCCAGTGAAGAGTGTTGAGCACAGGGGTCACCTGCTTGCTGGTCGGGTGGCAGCAGAGAGGCCTGGGGCTGTTGGCTGAGGTGTGGAAGGTGGCTGGGGTGGGGGAACGAAGGAGGAGGCGGAGCCCAGGCCCCTGGGGACTCCAGATATGGGAGGGGTGGGCGGGGAGCCGGAGGGATCTGCGAAGGTGACACTGCTGGGTGATAAAGTGAAAGGAAATTCAGAACAGCCAAGCCAAGCTCATTTTGAGAGCAATATAAGTAAATCTTAAAATATTATTGGGAAATGAACCTCGATTGAGTTGGAAATACAGTTGATAGGACTAGAAACTCCCTGAGGGGTTAGAGAGATCCGAACGGCCCTTGCCCTGGGAGAAACCAGGACAGGGGGGTGGTGACCCATGTCGGTCCACAGAGGCAAAGAAGGAGCGGCCAGAGGTTTTGCCGGCCTCCCGCTCCCTGGACTGGGCTTCAGGAAGGCAGCGTGGGGCTTGGCGGGCAGCAGAGCAGATGCAGGGAGTAAGGCCGCTGGGAAGCCTGCAGTCCCTCATCCGTGAGGGGCTGAGTGCCCTGCCTGAGGGCCCGCCCGTGAGGGGGCATGGGAGGCTCTGTGACTCTGTGAAGGTGGCAGAGGGCAGCACAGGCTGCGGTCACATAGGTCGCCGGCCCCAGGACTTGGAGCGGCAGCTCCTCCCCAGGTCACAGCAGAGGGGTGTCCCCCAACGCTACCATACTCAGGCCCCTTCTATCGATAGAATATTGAAGCAATGTGATGAGAATAAAAGATCCTAATGAGGCAACTCCTACTTATAGCAAATCTCCGCCCCCCCCCCAGGGTCCTGCCCTCTGACCCAGCTTCGCCCCCGCCTCCAGCGCCTCGCCAGCCCCCCCCCGGCCCCCGCCACCCCAGCTCCTGCTCGTCCGTCCCTGTTGCACGTCCTGCACCCCCCGGGGGCGACTCCCGAGGAACGGGAGTCTGACAACAATGTCCCGGTTACCGCTGTGTTCTAGTGCGTATTTAGAAACATCCAGAAAGAGGACGCTTTTATGAAAAATTGAAACAAAGCCTTGGAAATAGAAAATAAAAGGGACTTCCTGCATCTCCTGTCTGTTCTGGAATGCTGGGGCGGTGGAGGGAGTGGGTGGGACTGTGCCGAGCTGCAGGCAAGAAAAAGCAGCAGCCTCTTCCAGGCCCCAGCCCTCGGGTGGCAGCCCCAACCCCCACCCCCTCCAGCTGGAACTGGATCCAGCTGAGGCCCCGTTCACCACCTCCATTTAAAATGAAACTCTGATTCAAACTCTATGTGGGCATTTTGGGTCTAAGGAAGAACAGAAGAAATCTAATCAAAATATAACGTGAAGCAAGACTTGAGAGAAAACCCCAGGCACAAAGAACAGGCGGAGCCGAGGAAGAACAAGGCAGGAAGGGCTAACTCTGGGAGAGGACGCACCTGTCCTCCTTGGCCTCAGTGATCACAGTGATGAAGGATGTAGAGTCTTCCATGGCGTCGAAGTACTCGGTATCTTCATCTTCCTCACTGTCCTCTCCTTTGGGAGTTAAGAGGCTTCCTGCAGATACATGAGAAACCGCTGCCTGTTTGCAACACTGAAAACTCCCCCACCTGCCTGAGGAAGTCCAGAGCCCAAAGGGTGCCCCCCACTTTGGACCCTGCCCCCGACCTCCACCAGCCTCTGGTTCCCTCCCCACTCCGGTCACCTGGTCTGCATTAACCTGGCTGTGGCTCTGCCCTCGCTCCCCTTCCTGGAATGAGCTTCCCGCTCAGTGCTCTGGCTCAGAGGCCTGCCTCCTTCTGGAAGCCTCCCCGATCTCTCAGCATGCTGGTCAGTCTGTCTGGGGCCTAGCTGCCATTTCTGACCGACCTGTCACTCCCAGCCCAAGGCTACGTGGGCCGCCACCTGGCACCAGGGCAGCCCTGCCACAGAGAGACCCTTCGGCTCACTGGACTTTTCTTGTGAGAACTGGAACCTATTAAGCGTCTCCTCCTTCAGCTCAGGTCATGCTCCCAGCGTCCTGGGATCGAGCCCCACAGCAGGGAGTCTGCTTCTCTCTCTCCCCCTGCCTCTCCCCTTGCTCATGCTCTCTCTGTGTATCTCTCGGTCTCAAATAAATAAATATAATCCTTAAAAAAAAAAAAAAAAGAACTGGAACCTAAATGCAGGGAGCTAATTGCCCTTTGGCAGTGGGTGTGGGAAATACAAAGCCACACAGCAGGCGCAAATGTGGGCGTGTGAAGGGCTATGTGGATGGGGGGCGCTGTGTAAGCAGAACCAGCGGGCAGAAGGAGGCGCAGACGGAGCACAGGTTGGGCAGCCCTCACCCTCTCACCTTCGCTGAAGCTCTTGGTGGGGTTGGCGGCCCGGCCGGGGGCGCTGCGGAAGGCCCGTTCGAGGCTGTTGTGCTGCTTGGCTAGCTGCTCTATGGTCTCCTCCAGGTGGACGCGCTGTTCTTGCTCATACTGTAGGGCGCGCTGCCATTTCCGGCTGTGTATCTCTGCTAGTTCCAAGAAGTCTCTGCAGGCCTGGGGGCGGGGGCACGGAGTGGCCGGTGGGCACAGGGCCTGGGGGAGGGGCCTGTCTGCCCCCCACCCCACACCCCACCGGCCAGTCAGTGAGGAAGGCCCTGGGGTGTTTCCCTTTGCTGCCCCCTTTGGCTTCTGTGGGGACATGGGGACTCTTGCTTTCTCTGAGCCAGCCCCGGGACAGGCGTCTGCCCTGGCCGGCATCCCACAGTCAGGATGCCATCTGAGAGCACCAAACCCGGGCTGTGGCCGGCAGATGCTGGGTTTTCACACGGCTGGGGCCCTGAGTTCAGCTGCCGCCTCCCCACTGTGTGCCGGACCCAGGGTTTGTCACAACCTCTGTCTCCACGAGAGCCTGAGGCATATGCGGTGCTCAGGCCAGTCCCTGCCCTTGGCAGGGAAGGAAGGAAGGCCACATTCTGCTATACTTCCGGGCTTAGAGAGGTAAAGGGTCTTATCTGGCACAGGAACTGAGACTGGACCTTTCCACAAGGTTACCTCAGAGTCTGTATCACATAACTCTGCTTTTAAAGTAAGGTTGCCCCTTCAAACTTGGGGCCTACTCTGACATCAGATTCTTTCCAGCTTCCCAGGGCCGTAGGTGGTTCCGCCACACTCTAATGAAGCCGGGGTTGGTCATTCTGCCCCTGTCATCCTCGTGGGCAGGAGGGCCCGGGATCAGCTGTCCCCGGAGGGCAGGGAGGGCCAAGCCAGGGACTTCAGGGTTTGCCCCTTCTGGTCTCCTTTAACGCGGTGGTCTCCGGCCGCCCCTCCCCGGCACTCGCTTCCCACACACATCACACTGTCTGACCCCGACAGTTACAGCTGAGCTTTCCTGGAGGGAGACAGGCACACAGCCCCTCATCTGTGACACAGGGACAACGCAGCACTATCCTGAGGGCTGTTGGGAGGAACCAGGGAGGTGATGTGGAGCGCTGGGCCAAGCAGCCTTCCACAGACACTCCCTCGGGGGCACCCGGGGCATGGGCAGCCCACCTCCCCCCCCCCCCCCCCCCCCCCCCCGCTAACCCCACTGCTCAGACTTCTCCCACCTCTCCGCCCAGGGAAGGCTCCCGAGCCGGCTCAGCCAGGTCCCCTGAGACACCCCCCCCCACCCCACAGTCTCGTGTCTACAGATCAGCTTCTCTGCTCACTGTGCCTGTTTCTCTTCATCCCACTGAACCCCCAAACACAACAGCTGCTCCGAGCGTTCGCTGGACGAGGGAGCACCCTGCTGACGGGTGGGTGTCGGGGCCTCGCAGGAGCACAGGATGGACAGCGCCTTGCCAGAGGCAGGCCCCGGCAGGCATCTCTCTCCTCAAGGCTTCCCCCTCATGCCTTCCCTCCTCTGGTCTCACCTCCCAGCCCCCTGTGCGGAGCGGGCTGGGCAAGGCTTCCTCCCCGGCACCCCCTTACCCACACACACCATCCTAAAGATGTGATGGGGACCCAAGGAAACCAGCAAAGTAGAGTAAAAAAGGCTTGTTATCAGGAGTGGGAAGGCCTGGGTTCCTGCACAAGCCACTCTGCCCCTCTGAGCCCATGTCCTGTGAGACAGAACAGTCATATCTGACCGAGCCCGCGCTCCCAGATTCCCTGTCCACCCCGGCCCAGCAAAATCCTCAATGTAGGAGGAGTCGGATCATCCCCAATTGACATATGAGGAAACTGAGGTTCAGTCTCCCGCAGCTCCCCTGCAAGGCTCTGGGGAGGAGGTGTATTCACTCCACCTCAGATTCAGGAGCTTCCTCACTCTCCCCAAAAGGTCCCTGCCTGGCCACACCTAAGCCACTGTAACCAGCTTCTCCAGAAGGGGCAGGGATTTACACTGGCAGGTGACCCGGCCCAGGTTGGGGCGGGAGTAGAGAAATCTTATGCATTTACCAGGCTCTGGAGACCAGAGGCTGCACCACAAGAGCAAAGGGGAAAAGATGAATCAGGCTCCCTCTCTCCCACCCTTGAGGTTCTGAGGTACTCGAGCTCTAGCTGCCTTAGAAATGACCATTTTCTCTTCCAAGGGAAAATGGAATGTTCATCGCATTTCGAGGAATAGCTGACAGCCTCTCACAGACCTGGCCCCAAATCCTCTCCCGGGGCCCCATCATCCCCAGCCCATTTGCGTGTGGCTCCCAGGCACGTGTCACCCTCGCTTCTGGCTCCATCCCAAACACACCTGCTTATTCTGATGCCAGCCCCACCTGCTGCACGCCACACACCTCTGCAGCCAGAGCCGTCTGGGGCATTCTTGCAAGCATGGAGGTCGCTGTTTTAATGGAGGCTCAGGGAGGCCAAGGCACTTGCCCAAGGCCACAAGGCAGTGTGTGTAGGGCCGGAGTCCAAGTCCCTGTGGACCCCACCTGCAGTCTCCCAGGGCCCAGAACCAGCCCTGCCACCACTCTGTACAGCTGGGTTTCAGGGCCTGGGGGCCCCTTGAGGGATTCTGTGGCCTTCCCAGAGGGGGAGCTGGGCTCCAGGAGATGCTTGCTAGTAAGGATGTCAGGGAATAACCCTGTTCAAGCAACAGGACTCAGCCATGCCTCCGCGACACCTGCTCCCAGCACCCATCCTTGAGGCTGAGGACATTGCCCACTGCCCCGGCGGCCAGGCCTGCTGGCTGACTGCCTGTGACCTCCACCTCGCTGCCACTGCAGGCCCAAGGGCGTGGAGCAGCGGGGGACAGGAAGTCAAATCCCCAGGACAGCTGGGGCCTCACGTGGCTGGGCTGGGTACATGAAGGTCATAGAGTGTCACAGTCCCCTAAAGACGAGGGCAGGGCAGAGGGTGCCGCATGCCGATAGAGAGGGGCTCCTGTGGCTGGACCAAGGGCTTTGCCACTGCTCCTGGACGAGGGGTCATCTGCAGCAGAGGAAGTGCCCCGGTCACTGTATGGGCTGCGGAGAGCTCATCCACCCCTCCCACCCCGCTGTGCCTACCTGGTGTCCATCCTCAACTCCCAGGGTCTCCTCCGCAGCGGCCGGCCTTCTCTAGGCCCCATCCCAGCCGCGCCACGGAGAGAGGCAGGCGCTGGTCTGGCCCTGCTGCCCAGGAACGCTGAGCTAGGCTGTGCAATGTGCGTTCACTAAGCTGGATTAAGCCGGGGGCCCGCCGGGGGGCCGGCTGGGGGCAGCCTCCGGGGGCCCAGGGAGGGGCCTGGCTGACCCACACCCTGAACATGGTCACATTTCCCCTGAGGCTCTGCCACAATTCTCAGAGAGCGCGTGCCCAGCCCTGAGCAAGAGCAGTTTCCTAAGCCACCCCGAAGCCCCCTACCCACACTAGCTCTTAAATGATGCAAGGGACCAGGAATGGGCAGAACAAGGGGCCCAGCCTCTGGGCCCCTCATGGGCACTGCCTGCTGCCTACCCTGGGCCAGGCCTATAGCCTCCTGGGCCTTGGTGTCCTCATGGGAAGAACAGAGAGCCGAACCCCAGGACTCCTGCAGAGCCCCTGATTCTGTGACCCACTGAGTGATCGCCCTCTGGGTGGGAACGAGTTTCCAGTGTCCCAGCCCTGCCCCGCCCCCACTCCCACGGCTGTTGGGAGGACCCCTGAGATGAAGAGGTGTGGGGCCCTGTGGGTCGTGTGGGGGGCGGGGAGCCCGCCAAGCTGCCCCAAAGCGGAGTGAGAACCCAAAAGCCCAGTACAGAAAAGACAGCCTCCCGCCTCCCCCCTCCCCCTGTACTGGGGCTGGCTCTGCTCAGCAACAGGCTGGGGGGCTCTCCCTTCTCAGAAGCCCCACCTGGTGGAAGGGGGCTGTGAAGCCCGCTCACCCAAGCCGTGTGAGCTCCAAAGGGAGATGCTGCTGGTCATCCTGACAGAGGCCCCGTGGGATGGACAGAGTGTCTCCGAACTAGAAACCTTTGCCCGCTTGTGCCCAGGAGGAAGGAGGACAAACTCTAATCGCTTTTGTTGTTCCTAATCCTAATCCGGACAACAACCTTGCCTTTCCCCGAATATGGGCGGGTGAGTAGGGCGTGGGGTCAGCCGGCCTGGGTCCTATGCCCGTCCTGTGTGTGACCCAGGAAGCCTCTCAAGCTTTGGGAGGGTCTGCAGACCAAGACCCTGCTTAGGCCTGGCCTTCAGGGACTGTTGGGAAGCACTGTCTCCTGCGTTGTCACTGCCCTCCTAGCCGGGGGCATGAGGAAGGTGCCCGAGGACTGTGGGACGCTGGGGTGGGTGGTCCCTGGACTCATGGAGGAGGCGGGGAGATGGGCCAAATGCTCACAGGTTCCAGGCTGTGCGAGGGCCTTGGGCTGACAGGGCCAGCTTGGCAACTGGCTCTGTCTCTAACCACCAGTACACAGCAAGTTCTGGTAACCATGGATGCAGGGAGGATGGGAGAAAGGGCTGTGTTTCCACCTGCAGCCAGACAGAACTCGCTAGATGTCTGACTGCCATGTGTCTGGCCTGCAGGGACCTTCAGGCTTTAGGGCTCCCAGATGGATGAGTAACTGGACCCTTTGGCTCTCAATGTTGTGGGGGCTGCCCATGTGCCATCTACCTCCCCTGCACTGGTCTTCACATGGCCAGCATGACTGTGGATCTGCCTCTCACTGGCCTTTTATCATAAAAGGAGCAAATAGGACAAAGTCGTGCAGAGTCCTGGTTTCCCTGAGCCGCTGTGCCTGGCCAGAAGCTCACACCCGGGGACACACTGGGGTCAACAGGGTCCTTCCTTCTCCCCCTCACCGAGGAGCAGCAGGCTGCCCTCAGTTCGCGCCTCCCAGAGGCAGGAAGGGGCAGTGCTGAGATTCAGGCCAGGCCTGCAAGGCTCAGAGGCCGCCACAGCAGGAGATGCACAGCCAGCTCAGGCCTCCAAGACCAAGAGTGGGGACCCCCGGAGCCATGACAGTAGCGCTGGGCTAACCTGGGGGTTAGGGGCGGGGGTAGAGTTCCTCTGGGTCAGGCCCAGCCAAACTGCCATGCTGCATCTTCAGCACCTTCCTGGCCCCTAGAGGCCAAGCAGCTCCCAGGCCAGGCCGGGCCAGCCACCCCTCCTC